TTGTGAGGACTGACCCATTTTAAATACACCACAGCCCTGGCGTACTGGAGAGAGGAGCGGGAGGTGATACCAGGTTGTGGGCTTTGCTTAGCTGGGAAGGAAACCCGGGTAGGAGCCAGGAGCAGTGACAGATTTTGGAGGAGGTGGAGGGAAACAGGGAGTGATTCAAACAGAAATAGCTTTCTGAATGTTTCTGGTGCTGTGGTTTTGCAGCTCTAATAAATCAGCAACGTTTCCGAATACTCTTAGGAGATTTTGTGCTGTGGTTTTGTCACTGTGCGTGTAAAACCAAGAGAAATGGCTGCTCCCCAGTTCCTTCTCGCCTCCCTCTTAAGAGAGAGTTTTGTAGGTGGCTTTTTTATTTGGCGCTTTTAAATTTATAAAGTTACACGATAATGGTTAGTTCCTCTTTGGTATGGGAAAAAAAACAAACCCATGAAATCTGGCTGTCTCACAGGAGCCATCGGGCAGCGTGTGTTGTAGTTCCACCTAATGTTTACCTATGAAATATTTTAAATACCTTTTATGATTGTCATGGTTGCTGCTTCAGTCCCGTAGCGTTCCTGTAGAATGGGGGAAGGGATCAGCATGAGAGAATCGAAATGGTATTCTTGTTCCTTTTAGGATAATACGCTAATTTTACTTTGCATTGTTTAAAAAAAAGGAGCATCAGTTATTCATTTGTTCTGGTCCGGGTTTCTGCGTGTAAATAAAACCCCAAGCCCAACTTGCAGTGTTGGGAATGATGCAACCCCACCCCCTATTTGTTTATCTGATATTTTGACAATAAAACCAGAAAGTAATTATAGGTTGTTTTTGTAGACAAAGAGGAATGCTTTAACAGGGAAGCTGAAACTTGATAATTCAGTGTTGTTGCTCTCTCGCGTGGACTGTCTCTGTTCCAGAATGTGAAGTATCTCATCACCCTGCACCCTTCAGTTTTTAGTTTCTGCCTCTGCGCAATCAGGCGAGTTAGCAAAACAAGTAAACACCGGTCACCAGAGCCACTGGGACAAAGTTAAATCTGAGTTTCTGAAGGTACCTGACCTGGATTTACCGAATGCAGAACCTTCGTGAGCCAGTGAACCCCCTCCTCTTTCCTAAGGAGATTTATCACAGTCACTGTGCTTTTTCTGGAACGTTGTTTGAAATATTTTTCAGTTGTTGCCTTGCATATCTTCATGTATAAATTCAGATTTTATATTCTATAATCACTCACATGGAAGTTGTTCAGAACCAAACGTTTTGATTATCAGTTCGAGAGAGGATTTACCTTGTATAGTGTTGAGGGTGAGTAAAGAGAGGAGATTCTCTTTGATTGCTGAAGCATCAGGCATTTGAAAAGAGAAAAGTGATTATTTTCACAAGAAAACTGTTTTGTCCACAGCTCTCTTCAGCTGCCAGTGAATATATTCTGATCATTAAAACAGTGCTGGAACTCCTTGTATCATTATTTTAAAAGGTGTCCCTGTCTGAACTTACCTGTTTTAAAGTTGTGATTGGTTTGGTTGGTTTTTTGGGTGTTTTTTTGTTTTGTTTTTGTTTTTTTTTAATCTGCCATTTAAAATATGCCAAAAAGCCATGTGCTTGAGGAGGAAAAAAAAAGTCAGGATTTCAATTTTTGATTAATCACAGCATACCTGAGTGTTCGTTGTAGTCGTTTGCAAATGGCCTTTTAAGAGTTATTTTATTGGGCAGTGCCGTTCCAGACCAAAGGTCAGGGTCATAATACTCATAATACCTGGTGAGTCATAGATTTGTCCTGGAATCCAATTCTGGAAGACGTTTATAGGACATTGCCAATGTCTGATCCAGTGGAAGGTATTACAGCTGGGGGAGAAAATGTATTTGCCTGCCCTTTTTCAGCTGGGTTCATTGCCCTCTTGCATTCTGTGAGCCAGAGGTGTGCTTTTGGGCATTATAACTCCTTGGCCAATAAAATGCTCTTAAGTTGTAAATTGGTTTCTGTGAGCCTTTGGGAAAGCATCTCATTAGTAAGGGAAGGTTTTTTTATTATACCAGGTATTAATTTCATTACCCTCAGTTGTGAACAGGATTTTTTTATGACGTTTACGAGCCTCTTGGTCTTACATATTTCTTTGTTGGATGAGGCCCCTGCTTCAGTTAGTCTGTCAATGGTCATCGCTGGCACTGGCCCGTGTAAAATGCTTCAGAGGCAGTGGCAGTCCCTGCGGGATAATGTGATGCTTCCAAAATTCTCAGTCTTAATTCCCCAGCTGTTATTTAAGCCCAGAAACAACCGTGGTGGGTTGGCTTAGTTGCCATGCTATGAGTGGTGTCGATGGCTGTGGCACCTTTAGCTCTCGTCGTGGTGGTCCTGCCCCTGTCCGGTCAAAGGTAACCCAAATCCTTGGACCTTCTAGGTGTGTATGTGGTTTAACTGGTGTTCTCAGCACGAGCCAGAGCTACAGCCCACCTGTGTAGTCTGTGTCGAAATCCTTCGGAGGATCTGTTTTTCCCTGCCGATTTAATCTTCCTGCAGTTCCAGCAAGCGATTGAGGGAGGAGACGGGGAAGAGGAAAGGAAGAGCCCGAGTACCAGTCCTCTGAGTTTTTAGTTCTGTCTTTCTCAGGAATACCTTCAGTGCCTCTCCAGTTTGAGAAGAGCTTGCCAGCATAGTTTTTGCACCTTCCCAAATTCCTGATCTGCATAAAACCAAATGCTACCAGCCACTGATAGTACATACACAAATATTTTTCTCTGTCAGTTTTGAGTTCACCAATGCTCCTTTTCCTTCGATGGCCGTCTGTCTTTTCTAAGGTTCGATATCTAGTATTTCCATACACCTAGAACAAGCCTTTGTGTGCATCTCTGCTCTTCAGTTCCAGTCACAGTGTGTGCAGGTTCCTGTCACTTCTTCGCTGTCTCTGTCCCTCATTCTTTGCTGGTTTTCTCCACCCCTCCGGTCCTCTAAAACCCTGTTCAGAGAGGCTGTCCGGAAGAATAAAGAATGCAAAGAGATCTTAAATGCAGAAAAAGGAGGTTAAATTTGCTGGTATTCAAATGCCTGTTCCCATCCTTAACTGTATTTTACAAGATGCTTATAAAACAGTCCGATTCCTCTGTCAGGTTTCAAAATTCTTATGTGGGCAAAAATAATGCCACTTGGAAATCATTAAGTTAATTGCATTTCAAAGAGACACTCAGAGAGTCGAGTCCTTGGGTTCAACTGCAGTGTCCTGAGGTTTTTCTGGAGCATTTTCCTCTTTTCTAGCATGTTCCCTCCTGTTGTGTAAAGAACCTTCTTGCAGCACCGAAGCTAATACACAGCGCTATTAAATGTGTCAGCTGATTAAGTGAAAAAGACCTATGGAGGGTGATACAAACTGCTGTCTTTATCGGAACAAGCGCATGGTTTTGAAGTTGAAATACATATTTAAGTTGATAGCCCTTTTACAGTTACCTTAACGAGGCACCCAAGCTTTTGAAGTAGAATTGGTCCTTGCTAATCACTGATAGGGAAAGGATTATCGAATGCAATCGCTGCAGAGATGTAAATGTCAGGGAACATGCAATGTCTGGTTAAAGTTTGTTCAGATGTTTATAGATTACTGTAGTACATGCTTCTAGGTGAATGAGGTGCATTTCCAGAGAGGAGGCAGCGATGCGGGGCCGTGTGGGAGGGCGGTGGTGGTATGAACATTCCCCTCCATCCGGGTGCCTGTTCTGCCCGGAAAGGAGCCTGTCTCTAAGCTGGACTCAGATCCAACCCAGCTTGACCTCATGGAGCATTTGTTTCTATTTCCTTTTGTATGGTGATTTTTATCCTACAGTTGGCTCCTTTGTCTCGAGAGGAAAGGGGTTTTCATTGTCAACCAGTTGTTGTTGTGGCATGTCTTTTATTTTAACAGGCTTTCCATTTTCTGGTGGTAGGTGGAGGCCTTGTCAACGCCGAAATAGCCAATATATTTGTTATTCTTATAATGCTGGTACAGTTTGATCACACATTTGCAGGGGCACGTTCCTCCGAAATGAGCTGCAGTGCCTTTGGTTTTGTTGTGTGGGGTATGGTATTGGTAGAAATACCACAAAGAAGAGAGAAGTTATGGGAGGTGATTGTTTTTGTGGAAGGTTGGTGTGGCAAGCACAGAGTGCCGTATCCTGCTCTCTTTTCCCACACTTGGGGAAGTTGCATAAAGTGTAAGCGCCTTTGGGGTCTGTGCACTCTCAGTCTTGTTTTTATAGCTTTATTAATGTATTTGCGATCTTTATTAATTTATTTGTGTTAAAGGTTAAGTAAGCATTTCCCTCCCATTCTCAGACTTCTACTGTATTTATGGAAAACACTTGTAAGTGAGTATTTCTCTGCGTTAGCCAAGAGCCCTCAAGCAGCTCACCAGTCTTGGCGCCAGGCGTGGGCGATAGTTCTGTTTGGATGAAGAGACCTTAAATAGTTTTTTTTCTCTGTGCTTCAAACATAAACAGGATTTTCTCTAGCAAATACAGTGTTCACCTTCCCAGTTTTGTTCTATTCCTCATTTAACAGACATGCCAGCAATATACGGGAAGGAACAAACTCTGGTTTCCTTTATTGTCTGAGTTGCTGGTGTCCTGCTTCTGCCTTTGACAAAGGGTCTTGTTTTATAGGATCTTTGGCTCCAAGTTGTTGCTCCCTTCAGTGGTATCAATTTTGAACTGAGGGACATGGAAATAACCTGTGGAGATAAGAGGAAAGGGATGCTCTGGTGGGATGGAGGTCAGGCTTCTGGAGCCAAAGAAGTTGGTGCTGCCTTCAATGGTATCAATTTTGAATTGAGAGACATGGAAATAACCTGTAGAGATAAGAGGAAAGGGGTGCTCTGGTGGGATGGAGGTCAGGCTGTCAGTACAGGCCAGTACATGTGTGTACGTGTACACGCTCACCCGAGCTTACTCTGCATCTCATCCAGAATAAAGATCTTTTACGTGTCACTCTTCCTTTCCTGAGGTGGGAATGACAAGAATAATTTAAGACTTTTTTTTTTCCTGTGTGTGTTCAGATTGTGCAGTGAACGTCCACAAGAACTGCAAGAGCTTATTGGCTGAATGCAGCAGCTCCAGACCCAAGGTGGGCTTTAAAATTTGTTCTTTTATAATAACAGTGCTTGGCAGAGTAAGTTTAATTTAGCTCGAGTGTTTTAATTAGCACCACTACAGGCTCTTGCCCTACATCTTCAAGACATCAAATAGCTACTAACATGTCATTACAGTCATTTATGACAGTGTATGTGGGGAAAATGAAGTGAAACCTTCTATTGCTGTGCTGAAAACTACCTACCCTTGCTTGGATCTGTCAGAACTGTGACGAACTCTTGTAAGAATGCTCAAACCCATCCCTTTTTTGGGGCACACAACTGAATTATGTGGTACCTCTGAACGTTATGCCACTAGTTTAGTAGGTTGTGCCATCTCAAGGCTGATGGAAGATTGTGAGGGGTGGAGGAGAACTTGGTTACAACAGTTGCGTATTATTTATGACCTGAGCAATGCAGAATTAAGTGATTTTGTTCTTGAACTGTGGTGAACTTGCTATCTTGCTAAGCTGTTTGGTTTTTTATCTGTGTCGCCGTGGTACCTGTGCTTGCCTGTAAGGTCACAGGTTGGTTGCAGATAGCTGTCTATCTGTCGGGGGTTTTTGTTCTGGTCTTGGTTTTGAAAATCATTTCCTCCTCCTTACAAGTAATTATGCTTGAGGGAGTTTGAGTTTGTTTTAACCTGCAAGTGTTGATGATTTCCGAGACTGATAGCAGATTAGGGAGTACTGTGAGGGGGTAAGAGAGAGCAGAACAGCTCAAACCTGGGCTATTAGAGGTTAGAGGAAGTGCTTTCAGCCACTGGTGATTTAGAATGGAACTCTTCTGAGGGCAGAAATGTTCTTTTGGGGGTTTTGATATATACTTTTAAACTTCTTGAGGCACTGTGCATTTTCCTTTTAAACCTAAAAATTCACTCTCTCTGATGGTTTCATTTCCACTCTTTACCATCTCCCAGACTTTCATGGTTGAATCAGCCATAACAAACCACTCCTGAAGAGAGCAAAGAGGGAGCGGTAGCACAAGGTGCTGTGGAGATGAAGCAAGACTCCCAAAAAGTCATTTGTTACAGACAGTGTTACTTTTTTCTTTGCATCTTCGATAAATTGTATCACAATGAATTGTAATATCCGAGTGCTGTAAGGACAAGAAAGTTGTACACATCACCAAAGACACAATTTTGAACGAGGGCAGTCGTAATTTTAGGTGAAACTGGCTGTGTTAGTTTAGTTAGTATTGCTTTGTAGATGCAGCAAAGCGTAGGTGAAGACTGGGTTTGTTTTCATTTGGTAAATTATTTATGATCATAGCTTTATCACAGCTGTAGCTTCATTTTTGGTTCTACTTCAGTCAGTTTTCTACTTGATGGGATTTTTATGCAAAGTGTTAACGTCTATATACCATCCTTTTGGAACATGGAAATATCAAAATCACCACTGTGTCAAATCTTTTATGCTTTCAGTGTACAGCTTCTCTTAGTTAATGCTGTATGATAGGAAAAACAGGGTTCAGTTTGGACTGAAACTTTGGTCTGTATGTGTAAGAGCACTGTATTTTTTTTTCCTATAGCCGAAAGATTTGCAGCACAGACCTTCTGGATCTCCACAAAGTTCGCCCCAGTGCATTTCCCCAGGTTCGTACTAAAGAATGATTTCTGTGCTCAAGGCTTATCTGTTCGATTGTATTTTTTTCTTTAATATGTTTTAAAGGCCGTACACAGTGTGTTATTGAAGTATAGAAGAGGTCTCTTTTAATAAGACGGCTTCATTTTTTTTTCTATTGGGAATGGCTTAGAGGCTCCTAGCAATCTCCTGTGTGTTTTTATCTTTTTATCTTTTTATTTTTCCTTATACCTTCTTGCTGTGTAACCTCAAAATATCATGGTGAAAAGGGATCAATAAGCTAGTTTTTCATTGATTGTCTATTCTCTGGCCTCTGAAAAGACTAGAACTGTGAACTTTGTTTTACATCAGATTTTCATAATTGTCTATTTAAAACTTGCCTGCAGCTAGTGGTTGCTAGAAATCTCTAAGACAAGCTAGCACTAATGGTCTGAGCATAAATCTTTGTTGAAACAAAGTGAGAAAAAGGACCTGAGGGAGAAAAAAAACCAAGAAGGAAGAACAGCTCTATCGCAGCACAGGCTTTCAAATACCTTTTTGCTACTGGAAAAGACCATTGCAGCCACAGGGGTTAGGATTTAAATGGCTTTTTAATTGGCAGATGCTAAGAGGTCTGCATTAACAGAACAGGCTTCTTGGCTCTCAAGTGATTGACCGTGACTAGAGCAGAATTGTTTGCTGCCTTGCAGTTGGTCCGTTTGGTTGCTTCAAGGGCTGTAAGAAACACGGTTGGCGTGAACGTCTGAGCGTTACTGTGTGTGTTTTATATGGGTTTGGTAGGTACCGTTTGACTGGCACTGCAAGCTGTGCTTCTTTGGGAAACGACTCTTGCCAAGAGGTAGCGCAAAGGGAATAATTGTGATCAGAAGATAAGTGGCTGTTTGTGTTACCAAGAACGGTTTTGTGCATTTAGAGGAGAGTGCAGAGGCTAAAATAGGAAACAATAAGGAATAATGAAAATGGGAAAAGCTGGCTGTAGGGCTTGTCGGTGAAACAGCTCTGTGGTATACAGTCTGGTCTGGTGCGAGAGGTTAACAGCGATCGATCCGGGCTCTCAGCAGTGTGCAGACAGTGCTAATTGAACTCAGAAATGGCGTTTTGCTGGTGCAGACTGCTAGGCAGCTAGGACTTTTATTTTCCATAGTCAGAAGTTAAAGGAACAGCTGATAGCATGGGCATTGTAAGTCTTTACCCACAGTATAACACTGCAGGCTGCAATGCCCAGCAACAGAAGCCAAAGGTGGTGTATCAACGTAAGAGAAATACATTTTAAGAAAGGGACAAGCTGTGTTGGTTGTGTCCCCCCAGCCTTCTCCCCATGTTTTGCCTCTGGAAATACTTAGATTTGGCCCACCATTGTGAAACAGAACTGTGTGTTCTTGGCTTGTGGAGCACAGAAAGAGAACTCGATGGCTGATGATGTCGATACTTCCCCAAATGGCATTTATTATTAAGCCTTTGTTTAAGAAATCCATCATTACAAATCTTGCTAATATCTATTGAGTCTCCTCTTTCAGGACAGTGGGCTTGGAGCTCATCACTTGGAGCTGACGAAGGAGGACTCAGTTTACCTGGTTTGTTGTAGACTGAGAATGGGCTGTATGTGTAGCCAAGAGATTTCAGACCCAAACAGATATTGGGGAAGGGTATTTCCAGTAGGAAAAGATACGGTGATATAATTTCTGTTAAATGTCACTAATGGAACCTCCCCTGCAGCCCTAATACGATTCTAGTCAAGTGTTTCAAGGAAGGTGAAATGAGAGGCAAGCAGATGTAAATTACGGGATATCAAGAAATGTGGAAAAACGTGTTTTAGGAGACGAAACATTAGTACCTGGATTTAGCTGTGTTTGGTTGAGCAAGGCAGAAAGAGAGGGAGAGGTGGTTGTTAGGAGGTACGCTGAGGAGTGCGGGCTAAGAAAGGAGAACTTTCAGGGATGGATGGTCACCGTGGGTTTTACAAGAAAAGTTGTAAATTGGCGATAAATCAACTTGGCTGGGAACTGGAGACCCTCTTGAACTGCTGCACCGGCACGGTCCTGAAGCAGCCTCCCAAGCACAGTACTGGAAGGGGAGTTGGGTCTGGGTGTAAGGCAAAGCTTCCTGGCAGTGGCAGAGTCCTGGGTTCAGGGATCCATGAGATCTCTTCCGCTCCCATGTCCTTAAAAGCACTTTGAAAAAAGAGCACCTGCAGCCCTTGTCAGTGATGAGTTATAGAGATCGGCTGATTCTTCATCTTTGACTTCCCTGAAGTTCCTTTTTTTAAAAAGGATGTATTTCGTCTCCTGTTCCTTATCATTCATTACACACATTAGTGCTAAATAATGGTATCCATTTTTTATAAGTCTATTACAGGTTTCCATGTATTGTGTAATAGTGATTAAAGTTTTAAATATCTCTCCAGTTCCCAGTCTCTCTGGATTTAAAAAGCATTAAAAAGTTGCAGTATTAAAATTAAATTTAGCTCTGGTATCTCTCAGGTTCAGCGTGTGTGCATGCTCTGTAGCAATAAGCATTGCAGAGAACTTGTGGGTTTTCTGTGATCTCAGATTTTTCTCGTTGGCCGTGAAATGTTCTGTGCCCTTATACGGGAGGGTGTGAATAATTGTGTGTAGGTTCTGGTGTTTTACTAAAGGAGAAGATACTTTGCAATTTCCACACTAAATGGGCACAGTAGGGACCAATTTCCTGCACTTCAGACCTGCTGATTTAGCCAATACAGTAAGTTAAGTGGCAGCTTTACATTTCTAGAAGGATCACAGGTAGTATAAAAACAGTGCATCTCTGGGGCCACTTTACTCTGCCAGCTCTGAGGGCAGCCAGTAGCGAGCATGGGGAATACAAATTCAAAAAGCAGCGGCAGAAGCAATCCGCTTCCAGCTCACCCCGAGCTGTCTTTTTGTGGTTCCTTTTCAAGAAAATGGAATGAGAATGTTTTTTTGGACAATGAGCTCTTGACATCCAAGATCCTGTCTGTTCTCCGTCCGCATTCAGAGAGAGGTTTGAGAGCAGGCGAGCTGCAGTGTACGCCTCATTTTCTGAGTACCAATTCAATTTTTGCTTCTCTAGCCGCTTCTTTGAAGGAGCAGCCCCGAAGTCTTCTCCTGGGACCGGATGGCACCCCAGTACTGTCACGGAACCTCGGTATGACTATCGCCCAAAGAGGAAATTCTCAGTCTTCATTGAATACTGCTGGAGCTGTCAAATTTGGGTAAGTAAACTGCTTCTCTTCTAATTCACTAGCTTCTGCTGCCTCCCTCTCCACCCTCCCAGCGTGAAAAGAAAACCAGTTATGAAACTACAGCAAGAATTCGCGTTGGCTTTCAAGCTCAAAAGAGATTTATTGAGCTTTTAATGCTGAGATTCCTTTCCCTGAACAGTAAGCTTTGTTGTTGTTGTTTGAATCACCTAGTCTCTAGTCCCTCTGTACTGTGCTGTGGAAGATATTGTATGAAACAGGGCAGTATTTGAGTGTCTCTGTCTAGATTACGGTCTTCATGGCTATATTTGTCTTCAGACTTGTTGAAAATCAGTGATCTCTTCGGAGTTCAGTTATTCTAGGTTGTGCTGGTTCAGACCAGTGTAGGAGACAGCAGTGTTTTAAATTGCAGGATACCTCGATTAAAATAGCACTCAAACTGAAAGCTAGCTGCTGTTTTAAGTAGTTGTTTACTTTTTATGTGCCACGGTTATGCTCCCTCCTCGGTGAAAGTGCCCTTTGTACTCTGAACCGGCTGTGGCTTGTCACCAGGTGATGTCTTTTTCAAATGTCGTACCAGAAGTTGCATACTTGCTCATGCTGCTCTAATTAAAACTGTAATATTTCAGTAATGGAGTTGCTAAATTGATTTGACTTTTTAAAGTTGGAGTGCAATGACAGCTTTTCTACGTCTATCTTAAGTTAATTGCACTATAGGAAAGAGGCTTGTTAAAGTAGTTGGAATTTTTTTGTGTGTCAAGCAACGTACAAAACAATTGTTAATGTTCTGTTTTGGTCCCTTGGTCTAATTTCTTTGGCCATTTAGACTAATTTCAGGAGACATGGATGAAGGGGATTCAGGCTTTATAAAATTCAAGCAGACTTCAGATGATGTTGTCTCGCTTGCATCTTCAACAGCAGACTCCATTTTTCTGGAAGGTATGGAATTTCTGTGCTTTTCAGGATTTTTATGCGATTTCTTACACAGTCTTAAAGCAGCATTGAGATGTTTTTCCTCTTGTTGTTATTAATGATGGCAATAAGGGATATGGTGGGAAACCATTTAATAATAATTGAAATTGAATGTGCTTTTGGTCTAGACGCATATTCTGTATCCCTCCGGAGTGAAATAGAAACAGATGCTCACGAGTTTGAAGCAGAGTCTTGGAGTGTTGCAGTGGAACAGCCTTATGCAAAAAGGCAAAAGAAAGATGTTATAAAAAGGCAAGATGTCATTTATGGTAAGAGTTTTTGTTGTTATGATACCTTTTTCTGTTTCATAGTGCCACTCTTTAGAAACAAAGCAGAAATCATTTTTATTGGCTCTCATTTTGACTTGTGCTTGAAAACTAAAATTGAGTGAATGTTTTCAGGTCTGCTACCTGTCTTAGCACGCACAAGTCCTCCTGTTGACGATTTTAAGGCAACCCATAGATTTCAGCATGCCTGTGTAAGCAGCAAAGCCCAGCTATACAATTAAGGAACAGCTCAACTATGACTGGGACATGTCGTTAAATAAGGAGGGGCAGTCACTGTTTGGTTGGGAGATTAACAGGGCACATTTAGGAGCTTGACATCACAGATACAAAGATTGTGGTGAAGAAGGTGATGCAAAAGATGGTGGCTTTTGGACCCTGCTCTTTTATAGCTCACTAGTCCCTGCACAGCATATAAATGACACTTGATTTTGTAATTTCCCTTGCCCAGAGCTAATGCAGACTGAAATGCACCATGTTAGGACACTGAAAATAATGCTGAAGGTGTACTCCAAAGCCATGAGGGAGGAACTGCAGTTCCCAAATGCAGTCATCAACAAGCTCTTCCCCTGTGTGGACGAGCTGCTGGAGATACATGGGCAATTTCTACTCCAGTTAAAGGAGCGACGAAAGGAATCCTTGGAGGAAGGCAGTGACCGAAATTATATAATCCAGAACATTGGAGACCTCTTGGTAAAACAGGTGTGAATTAAATTCTACCAGTGTTGTTGATGCTATTAACATTTCTAAAAAACTAACTGTAAGGTTGAAGTTATGTAAAGATTGATTTAATACTGGGTTTGAGATTATCTTCTGGGTGTAATGTGCGAGTGTGACTCCCAGGATCATACCTGGTCACAAGTAACCTTCACTAAATGCTCTTTGGGCACCTGCATACGCGTGCTGTGGGCTACGGGGCTGCACATACTTTGCTTCTCTTGGGTATCTCTTCCAAAAGTAAAGTAACATATTCCTAGTGTCCATCCCAAATACGGCTCTCCTGCATTTAATGCCGAGCTTCTTGGTTCTGACCTTTTAAAAATGCAGTGAAGATCCTTGGGATGCATTTCAGCTTTAGCACCCATTCTGGAGTGGAGTGGTTGCACAGTTTCCTTCATGTATCATGATGATATTTTGTCCTTCACCTTTTCCAGTCCTCAGTCTTTTTAAGTGCAGAGGCCCAGAAATCCTTTTAAAAATTCTCAGTGACAACCATCATGTAATACATGGTTATCTTGTGGTATTCCAAGCTCTCAGGTGTTACATTGCATAAATCTCTCATTTCTGGTGCGGAATAAATTGAAATATTGAAGAAACGTCTCAGAAATCAGTTATCATAAAAACCATGTTAAACCTGCAGTGGAGGTAGGTTTCCTCTTAATGATTCATGTCTTTCACTCTTCTATTTCCAATTAGTTTTCAGGTGAAAATGGGGAGAGAATGAAAGAAAAATACGGTGTGTTCTGCTGTGGACACAATGAGGCTGTTAGTCACTATAAAGACCTGCTCCAAAGCAATAAGAAGTTCCAAAACTTAATAAAGGTAAGTGACACCCAGAAGTCTCCCATTCTGACTCTGCAAAATATGCTTTTATTTTGTACTTGAAGATGTCTTAAATTCAAATTATCAGGGTTCGAGGTTCTTGTTATTTGATGGGTTAGCTTCTTGTATTTTAGATCTTCTGAGCTGTTTGGACACAAAGCCACAATTAACAGGTGCTAAATTTGTCAGAGGCTCTTGAGAGCACCTGGGACTTGGGGAATAGATTAGATTGTTTGAGTCACGGCTCTGACTGCCCTGCTGTGTGGCCTTCTTTGTAAATTGGCTCGATAATAAATTAAATCAATGCTAAGTGCCGCTGCTGGACAACTACAGA